TATACACTTCATTCACTGAAAACCTACTTCACTGATTTTTTTCATTGTCATTTAGAATAGCAAAACCTTATTTATGCACTCCACCTGATTTAATGAGTTTAATACACTTTCTTCAGAAAAAAAAAGTTGATCATGTGAAGCTCTCTCCCAATACTTTCCCTTCTTTTGTGTGGCTGAAATGATTCTTCACTCAACTCTGCCTGTTGAATTCTATTGCCTCCTTTTAAGGTTTTATTTGCTTGTTCGCCATTTTCTGGCTTCTCTTATTCTATCTGGGAAAAGTTATTTTACAACACTTGTGTGCGTGTGCACACACACACCTATTCAGCTTAGTCAAATAACTGCAACAATCACTTTTTTAGCTAGTCTCAGAAACTAAGAGTATGTCAAGTGCTTTACATACATTATTTCATTTAATTCTTAAAATCTCACAAAGTAGGTAACACCATTTAATGAACAAATAAAACTGAACCTCAAAAAATTACATAATGAGTCCAATGTCACACAATCAGTGGACGGTAGAATTGGGACTTGAACCTAGGTCTATAGACCACCAAAACTTATGCCACCTAATTTTTATAAATTTTCTGCTATCTGTAACAGATCCTATACAGGTCTTCCTAAAGTACTTTTATTCATGCAACAAATATGAGTGACTATACGTCTTTAAAATTTCTGTAGATATACTTTTAACAGCTCCTTTCTTGTACTGTTTTTGCAACTGGAAAGCTGCATACTATGCACTTTTTTACCCTTTACTTCCTCTCATTAAATGTCAAATTTAATCATGTTATGATTACTATCAGGTAGTGGTTCAGCCACGGCTATTTCCTGCCCCAGTTCCTGTTCACTACCTAGAATGAGATCCAGCATATTTTCATTCCTAGTGCTCTAAAACTACCTGTTCTAGGGAGCAGTCAGGTTTTCTCACCTGAACATTCATTTCTATCTTTAGTGTCACGTTAGCAATTTGCATAAGACTAACAAGGTGTACTAAAAATGCAGCTTTCCTAAATGTCACTTAATATTTTCTACTTAATCATATGATTCTGGTCATCAAGCGATGTTTCAGATTTGTAAATTTAATCTGAGTATTTATGGTTCTGCATTAATCTGAGAAGACAAAAGCATGCGACTTTCTCAGATTTTCAAGGGCAATCCCAATTTAAAACACACTGGGGCCAGGCATGGTGGTTCACATCTGTAATCCTAAGACTTTGGGAGGTCAGGGTGGGAAAATTACTTGAGGTCTCTAGCCTGGCCAACTTAGCAAAACCCTGTATCTACAAAAAAATAAAAATTAAAAATTAGCTGGACACAGTGGCACACGCCTGCAGGTCTAGCTACTCAGGAGGTTGAGGCAACCTGAGCCTGCGAGTTCAAGGTTACAGCTGGAAGACAGAATAAGACCCTGTCTCAAAATAAAAATGTTCGATTCCACTATCATGTATCAAGTAGGAGTTAAGAAAAGACAGTCAAAATAAATGCAAATGGAAGTTTGCAATAATGACTCCATGTGGCTACAGACCAGGTAAAGGGGTTAAGGGATGGCAACAGTCACTTTGGGTTTCTTCCTTGAGTCTTAATTTGCACTGGGAAAATAAGTAGTGAAGGTAAATGATAAATAAACATGCAATAATGGACGAACTGTTGAGGTTATTCTATAATTTTAGTATCTAAGTATGCAATTTCTGATCATCAAAACTGGGTGGTACTCACTTTGCCCAACCACATTTACATACCATTATCATTTAAAGCTGGTCTTCACACATATATTTTATATAAAGTTACAATAACCATTCCCTCAACAATCCATATTTCTGTTATGAGACTTTGCCTCTTCCTGTTCTGCATAGAATGCCCTCTTTCCCCATCTATGAACACCACCTCCGGACCTTTTAGGCTTCAGTGGTAGCTCCCCTCAAACTCAACCAGTTCTCTCTTAAAATTATTTACTGTTTCTTTTTCTTTTCTTTTTTTTTTGAAATGGAGTCTCACTCTGTCAGCCAGGCTGGAGTGCAGTGGTGTGATCTCGGCTCACTGTAGCCTCAATCTCCCAGGTTCAAGCAATTCTCCTGCCTCAGGCTTCCAAGTAGGTAGGACTTACAGGTGCATGCCACCATGCCCAGCTAATTTTTTTTGTTTTTTGGGTTTTTTTTTTTTTTTTTTTTTTTTTTTTTTTTTTTGTTTTTTTAGTAGAGACAGGGTATCACCATATTGATCAGGCTGGTCTTGAACTCCTGACCTCGTGATCCACCAGGGACGGCCTCCCAAAGTGTTGGGATTACAGGCGTGAGCCACCACATCCGGCTTGACTGTATTTTGACTGTAATCTATCACATGAGGTCAAGTGTCTTGTAGCATCATCTTGGTACTCAAAAAGTTTCAGATTTTGGAGCATTTCAGATTTTCAGTTTACAGATGCTCAATCTGTATACACTGTATCGTATTATCATCATTTGTTCAAATATCCATCTCTCCCACCAAATGGATGCTCCTCAAATACAGAGAAGGTGACTCCATCCCTTTACCTTCAGCAACATCCAACAGTGCCTACATCTCAAAGTGTTATTGTGTACAACAGTGGATTCAATTTATGGTTTTGCAGCATTATTTTCCACTCAGTAGTATCCTACTATAAAGTCTCCACGAAGCCAATTACACTGTGACAATACAGTATAAGGGCTTGGAATGCAGGCTTTGAAATCAGACTGCTTAGGTGTGAACCCCACCTCTACTGACTCATTCTCTACTGACTCGAGAAGAAATCTCGAACATATGAGTTAAACTAAGTCTTGATTTGCTTATCTATAAAATGACGGTAATCAGTACCCATCTCACAGGACTAAAAGGTTAAATAAGATAATATACAAGTAGTCCAACTATTTTGATTCTCATTTTATCCACATGCCACCCTAAATTCTCTTCAGTGTAGTGATGTTTTTTTCATTACAAATTCCTTGCAATTTTGCATTAAATGGACCAGCCAAAAAGGTTCATGCTTTACAAATTGGGCGAGTCATTATTTTTAGGACCAACTGTCCAGTGCCAGTTTGGGCTCAAAAAAAGTCTACTCTTGGAGGCTTGACTATGCAAGAGTGCCCCCATTGTATACTATACTTGTTTACTGACCACATTTTCATGCTGTACCAGAAAGTGGTCAAAATTAGAACACGAAAACTCTCTACCTCATTAACACCTAACTTAAAACTATCAGACGCATTCAGACAGCTAATCTGTGTGGGAGGCAGGCTATTTCTGGAGCAAAAAAAAATTCCTGGAACCACTGTGCGTCTGGTCCCAGACACGGCTCATTCTCCCCAGACCTCCAGATTCCTCTCCTCCAGGTTATGGAGGTTGAGCCACTACAACCGATAAAGCATATCCATTTCATTCTCTTAAAATTTGCAGTCCATACACCATATCCAAATTAGGATTTCAAATTGTTATGCTAGTTTATGGCCCTTTAGGCTAAAGTGTACAGTTTCCAAATTCTCAGAATTCCCCTTCCAATATTAAAAATATGGTGAAAAAGGCCCAGTTTGAAAGAAAATAAACTTTACAAAAATACCTGAAAACAAGATCACATAGTAAGTCTCTAGCCAATGTCTTGGAGGAAAAAAAAAGATACAAACGTTTAAAAATGGCAAAAGCTAACCAAAAGCTGTAAAATCAAAGTATCACACCTAAAAATTAGTCTAAACATAAGCACGATATACTATTAACAAAGAAAGCAACTGAAAACTACAAAATAATATTCACCATGAATTTCAAATTACTTGGCACGTAAAATACACACTGAGATTAATAAATTGTTCCAGATCCTGTACTTCCGAGGTTAGTATAAAGCAGTTCCTTGTTTTTGCCAGGCTAAAAATAAAAAGGGTGACAGATAGTGACAGAATAATCCCTAAAGTTACACAAGAGGTGCTGAGTTAGAAAGCCATAACTCGAAGGACAATACCAGAACGCCGGCTGTCAACATTGGGCAGATAAAAATAAGAAAAGATGTAGCATGCTGACGGAGCAGGGCATTGTTTCCAGACGGGAAATATCCCTTAAGGCCGGTGCCTAGTATCTCAGTACCCGCTCGGTAATGTTGGGAGCAGAAAACTCGACCGCCGCCTGCTCAGAGGGGGCAGGGCAGCGACCCTCCTTCCACCTCCTCCAGCGCGCGAGCCACCGCCCCCTCCCGAGCCCGCTCCTCCGGCCGCTAGCCGACCTCTCCCCGCCCGCCGGGCTCGCCACCCGAGACCCCTGAACGCTCTTCCAGGACCCGACGACCCCTCAGCACAGCGCCAAGGGAAGGAAGCAAAGGACAGGGGCCTGGGAGCGGGGCCGGAGGGGCGGGCGGCGGTGCTGGGCTTCGGCCCGTCACCATTAAGGTTTGAAGACCGCGCGGGCTCGGGAAGAAGGCGGCTGAGCCTTCGCCAACGGCCGAATGAGGGCTGACCCTGGCCCCTCAGCTACTGGAGACTGCTTGGAAAGTCACCCGCCGCAGGCGGCGACGCGTTGGCCCGGGAGCCCCCACCTCCATCCTGACAACCGCTCTCCTCCCTCGTCCCGATCCAGCCTCGAGATTCTGTCAGAACTCGATGACCTCCACACGGCCCATCCGAGCGCGGAGGTGATGCCGCTCTTACCGTAGGAGCAGGCGCCGCGCCGCTAGGAGGCGGCTGAGGTGTGCGCGGGAGACACCGAAGCTAGCGCCGCCGCCAGAGCCCGAGGAGCTACAACGAGGCTCACGGCGGGCGCGCTGCCTCCAAAGCGTTGCCCCACCCCCTCTCCAGCAGGATTTTGCGCCGGAGCCTGCAGTCACTGCGCGCGGGCGGGGAGGACTGGAGAAGGGGTGGGGCGCCCCGAGGGGGCGGAGCTGAGCGCCGGCTTGGTCTGATTAACATCTGTAGGCCCAATGGGAGCACGGAAACTCCAGGCTGAGCTTGGACTGACTTCCTTCCTAACCCGTGACAGTGGAGAGGCGGAACCAATGGCTTCTTTTATTGCCGCCTTTCTGTCGAATCCGAATGTAAGGAAAGGTCGGTTGGTTTGCACTGGCGGACAAATGGTCCAATTGAAGCGAGAAAAGGGGCCTCTGAATCCAGATTGGCGTCCTCTCTACCTATAGAGTAGACTCAGGGGCAGTGAGAACCAGCCCCGGATGTGGGCGCGGCCCTGAGGTAGAACTGTGAGATCCTCTACCGCGGTGGGTTGGGGAGGCGGAACTGAAATTTTTTTCGTAATTATCATGTGACGGGTTCTGGATTTAATGGGGGGAAAAGTGCGGAAAAGGACAAGGATCCACACTGGCGAATTTCCTGATCTTCGCGCCCGTCCCCGCTGTCCCGCCGGCGGCGTTGCCAGGTGAGTCCAAGGCTCTGCCCTAGCCCGCACGGTGCACCTGAGCTGGCCTCCGGATTCCTCCGTGGGCTGTGCGACCGACCCCCAATCCATCACACAGCCAGCCCCAAACGCGCACACACCTTCTTGGTTCCAGGGCTTCTGTGACCATCCAGCAGGAACCGTGTTAAACTTCAACGTGTGCTGGGCCCACAGCCCATAAACGGGGGACGTCTGGGTGGGGCGCCGTGAGCCGACCATCGGTGTTTGCAGAAGGGCAAGGATAGTTCAGGAACGTCCTGAAGTTCCAGAGGCAAGTAGGCCCCCAGATCAGCGAAGTTGTAAGCAGAACGCTGTTCCTTTGGCCGAGGCTGTTGCAGCACGGGCTTTTCGAAGTTGACTCACTAGGAATAATTTTTGGGCTCATGAAGCAAAATTACCTTTGGGATCAGGCAGGCTCACTTGGTAGAGTACTGGCAGTGGCGAGAGAAGGGAAATGGGGGCTGATACTCAGACGCAGGCAATGTCGGTAGGGCTCTATATATTTCCACACGGGGGTAACTCCGAAGGTTTTAAAAATGAATTAAGAATCATTGACAAATACGTAACTGTCTTCCTAATGCCAGAAATAACCACCTTAAATGGGAAACATTTTAGTTGAGCACATTTTTGGAGTACGCACTTCCACCTCTCATGTGAAGAGAATAGCCGGAAACATAACTACTGCCTAAATTGATGAAGACGTAAATGTAAAATTGGGGTCGTATGTCGTAGTCGTAGTTCAGTATGCAAGCATACAATCCTTCAGTCGTCATTTAAGTATCAGCAGTGCTTCCCCATTGAGGGTATTTTCGTGCAAGAACATAACATAATTTTCTGGCATCCCATATTATACATCTTATAGGAACGATAAGATTGTTACTTGCATCCTTTCACCTCCAGCCCTAAAACCATGGTGAGTGCAGCCAATCATAAGGAAAAGAATGAAGCTTGTCTTATCCGATGGCAGATGGAAAAGTAAACCTTTTTTTTAGAGGTTCATAGAAACGGCCAGATTGATTGGAGATGGGGATTGTGCAGTTTACAGGATGAAATCCATCCATGGTTATTAACACAGACCCCTCCAACCCTGCTTCCAAATTCAGCCACACATCCCACTATATGGCAGCCTTTGGCCAGGACAGGAAACCAACACAGAAAAATTACTCCTTAGGAGCAAAAAGTACTGCAGTATGAAGCCTCTGCCAATTAAGTAAATAAGTTTAACTGCCACTAGATGGATATAAGGGGAAAGAGGTGAGTTAGGAGACTCATGCTTAATTGTTGAAATAAAACAGATGTGTTCTCTTGCACAAGAATAGCCACCATTTAAAGTAGTATAGATGTTGCACAGTACCATCAAGATTGGTTCTAAAATATAGTTAATTGAGCACACTAATCTAGGGCATTTGGCTCATTTAGCCAATTTCTTCACCTTTTCCTTCTTCACCCTTCCTTCCTGCATCTTTCCTTCTACCTTGCATGCTTTTATTCCTATCCCTAGCACCTTCTGATCTTTTTCTCTTTCTGTCCAGTGTCCTCTCTCATATTCAGTGTCATTCCCCATTGCCTTATTTCTCTGTTTATAGTCATAATTAAATTCTTCCTTTCCTGAAAATTTCTTCTTTCAGTTTCATATACCTCACCTTTCATTTTCTCTTCTCCACATGACTCAAAGGAATAAAATGTTCTCCACTGTTTCCATTTCTGGATCTTCTGTTTACTCCTTAACCAACTGCATTCAGTCTCTGGCTTCTGATTTCCCATTCTACTTATCCTTTTTCCAAATAGTCATAAAGATTAGTATAATAAACTTGAATAAGCGAGGAACATGTCATAAATCTATATGTGAAGATTAAATATAATAAATGCTATTTCTAAGTTTTATGGATTCACAATCAAAATTCCAAGTTTTTAAGAATCAGCAAATTTAGCATTAGCGCAAAATAGAAAATATTCTATACCTGAATGGAACCTTAGAGGAAAAAAACTGAAAATATTCTAGAAAAGAGGCAGACACTTTGGGAGGCCGAGGTGGGTGGGTCACCTTAGGTCAGGAGTTCGAGACCAGCCTGGCCAACTTGGTGAAACCCTGTTTCTACTAAAAAATGCCAAAAATTAGCTGGGCTTAGTGGTGGGCGCCTGTAATCCCAGCTACTCAGGAGGCTGAGACAGGAGAATCGCTTGAACCCGGGAAGCAGAGGTTGCAGTGAGCTGAGATTTTGCCATTGCACTCCAGCCTGGGCAACAAGAGTGAAATCCCATCTCAAAAAAAAAACCAAAAAACTATACCACAAACCAGTGAGAGTATTGTTAAAAGAAAATATATATATTAAATCAGGAAATGTAAGAATTTTTATGAGAAAATAAGTGAGAACTTAAGAATGTAAGTTCCAAATTATGTGAAAATCCAGTGTTATCAATGACTTTTATATTATTTAGCCCAACAACCTCTTTACAATCTTTTTGTTTTCCTTTTTTGAGACGGCTGGGGGTGTCTCACTCCATCGCCCAGGTTGGAGTGCAGTGTGCAACACAGCTCACTGCAGCCACAACTTTCCGGGTGCAAGTGATTCTCCCACTTCAGCGTCGCAAGTAGCTGGAAATACAGGCATGTGCTACCGTGCCTGACTAACTTTTTGTATTTTTAGTGGAGATGGGGTTTTGCCATGTTGCCCAGACTGGTCTTGAACTCCTGGGCTCAAGAGATGCACCTGCCTTGGATTCCCAAAGTGTTGGTACTACGGGCGTGAGCCACTGTGCCCAGCTACTAAAATCTTAATTCTACTTGATATCCTTGTGATTTTTATTAACCATTCCCTCCTTTTATTGATGGATTGATTGATGGAGACAGGATCTCACTCTGCTGCCCAGGCTGGAGTGTAGTGGCACGATCTCATGGCTCTCTCATTGTAGCTTCGACCTCCTGGACTTAAGCAATCCTCCCACTTCAGCCTCTCAGTAGCTGTGACTACCACCACGCCTGGCCAGTTTTTTATTTTTTGTAGAGACAGGGTTTCACTCTGTTGACCTGGCTCCTCTGTAGCTCCTGGGCTCAAGTGATATGCCCACCTTGGCTTCCCAAAGTACTGGGATTACTGGCATGAGCCACACACTCTTCCCATTCCCTCCTCTTAAAACTCTCTTCTCAGCTTGATATCACCTCTACCCTTTTCACTACTTTGAATGTTTTTTTCTTTGTACCCCTTGAAATTGAATGAAAAATTACAGATTTGCAAATGTAGAGGAAGATTAAGAGCATCTTTGCAGTGCAGGAATAAAGTCATAAGTGCCTGGACTCCAATGATAGCACTGAAAAGGAATCACCTGACATTCTGAATAGAGCTCATACTGGGGATTTGCTAAAAATTGTACTTTGTCATGGGCTGTAGGGAATGGTGGATATAATGTCAACAATCACTGTAAGTTTTATAGGATTTGAAAGGAAGAGTGGTAGAATGTTAGAATGTTTTCACAATTAGGAAGTCAGTTGGGAAAGAGCCAGCTTTGTTCACTAGGAATGGAAGTGATTTATTTTTTCTGGTATCAAAACAATCTTGACTTTTTCTCCTTCTCTTAGGGTATATTTCCTTTTTTTCGATCCTGCAACAGCCTCTTTAAACTGTTTAAATGAGAATGTCCTTGGCTCAGAGAGTACTGCTCACCTGGCTTTTCACGTTACTCTTCTTGATCATGTTGGTGTTGAAACTGGATGAGAAAGCACCTTGGAACTGGTTCCTCATATTTATTCCAGTCTGGATATTTGATACTATCCTTCTTGTCATGCTGATTGTGAAAATGGCTGGGCGGTGTAAGTCTGGCTTTGACCCTCGACATGGATCACACAATATTAAAAAAAAAGCCTGGTACCTCATTGCAATGTTACTTAAATTAGCCTTCTGCCTCGCACTCTGTGCTAAACTGGAACAGTTTACTACCATGAATCTGTCCTATGTCTTCATTCCTTTATGGGCCTTGCTGGCTGGGGCTTTAACAGAACTTGGATATAACGTCTTTTTTGTGAGAGACTGACTTCTAAGTACATCATCTCATTTCTATTGCTGTTCAACAAGTTACCTTTAAAGTGTTCTGAATCTTTTCAAGTTTCATGAATACCAGAAAACTGAGGGAAAATACCAAATATAGTTGTATACTACTTCCATAAAACAGAATTGGTGAATCGTGGACTTCTGCTCAGCCTACAGCTTAATTATTCAGCATTTGTTATTGAAATCTTTATTATCTCTATGTAAATAAAGTTTCTTTTGGACCTCATTTTTCTACATGACTCTTGAATAATACGTTGTATGTGGTCAGTATCTAAAGTAAGTAAATATAAAACCTTTAACCTACATGTTTGGGCTGGGTGCGGTGGCTCACACCTTGTAATCCCAGCACTTTGGAAGGCCAAGGCTGGTGTATCAGGAGTTGGAGACCAGCCTGGCCAACATGGTGAAACCCCGTCTCTACTAAAAGTAAAAAAAATTACCCAGGCGTAGTGGCGGGCACCTGTAATCCCAGCTACTCAGGAGGCTGAGACAGGAGAATCGTTTGAACCAGGAGGTGGAGGTTGCACTGAGCCAAGAATGCACTACTGCACTCTGTCCTGGGCGACAAAGCGAGACTCTGTCTCAAAAAAAAAAACACAAACAAAACCTACATGTTTGAATAGAAGTTTAATATACTATGGCTCTATTATGACCAAATAAATGGACATATGTGTTTCTAAATTATGAAAGAAAAAAACTAGTGACTGAAACAGAGATGCCACTTTGTATTTACATTCAGAAAGAATCTAAGTTTGATAGATTCTTATTTAGGCTAAGTTCACTATTTCCTCTGCCTTCTGATTGGGACAAATAATTCAGAGGTGGCATGTTAAAACAGAGCAGAAAGGCCGGGAACAGTGACTCATCCCTGTAATCTCAGCACTTTGGGAGGCTAAGGCAGGCAGATCACAAGGTCAAGAGATTGAGACCATCCTGGCCAACCTGGCAAAACCCCATCTCTACTAAAAATACAAAAATCACCTGGGTGTGGTAGCGGGCATCTGTAGTCCCAGCTACTCGGGAGGCTAAGACAGGAGAATCATTTGAACGTGGGAGGCTGAGGTTGCAGTGAGCCAAGATCGAGCCACTGCACTCCAGCCTGGTGACAGAGCGAGACTCCATCTCAAAAAAATAAAAAATAAAAATTAAAAAACAGCAGAAGCTTGCCACTTCCTAAAGTTAGAGGTACCTTATAATCCTGATTCTGTCAGGACAGGCCCAGTTTATGCCTATAGTCCTGGGGTCTCAAGGAATTAGTGCCCTTCTTGCTCTTAGAAGTATCTTAAGAGAGCATATGATCACCCTACCAAGGTACTAATCAATTCCAATGAAACAGAGGTGGCAGCACTTACAAAAATTCCAAAGAGGTTGAAGTGTCTTATAGCTGAAGCACAATGATTGTTCTTACCCTATACAACCCTCACTTTTAGCTGTGAGAGAAATCTGAAGTGGCTTTTCTGTTTTAAAAAAAAATCAAACGAAAAGTGATTTCTGGCTACTGAAACAGGTCTAGTTCTCCCTTGTAATGACAGATAACATAAGTTTCACAACAGCAGATTAATACAGCTTAACTCACTAAGCATTTGAAACTAAAGAGCGAGGCTAAATAAATAAAAATAACTGCAAATGTTTTCATCTTATAATTGGCAATAATATTTTTGGTATGTAAAAATAGGATACAGAATAGTTAGTACTGGGAACTGAATGTTCCAGGCTTGATCAGATACCTCTAACTCAATTGAGAGATCCATGCCTTGGTTTATGGAATCATTAAATAAATTCAAAGTAAAAGAAGGCTGACATCTCTGAAAAACCAGCTAAGAGGATTTTGGAGTACAGGAAAAAGGAAAAGAAGGGATGGCACCATGTGCAAACAATCAGCTAGGCCAGGAGTCAGCAAAATTTATCTGTAAAGGGCTGCTCAGTAAATAGTTTAAGCTTTGTAAGTGATACGATTTCTTTTGCAATTACTCAACTCAGTCCTTATGGCAGAAAAAGCAGCAATAGACCATGGCTGTATCCCAATAAAACCTTATTTTTTCATGGACATGAAATTTAAATTTCAAAAGATTTTCACATCACAAAATATAATTTTTACTTTTGTTTCAACCATTTAATGCCATAAAAACCATTCTTGCCTCACGCACCATAGAAAAACTGGCAGTGGATTAGATACGACCTGATTTGCTGACCCCTGTGCTAGGCAATAAAAGCAGAAAGAAATTCTGTATGAGATGTGAAAAGGAAAGGTGGAACAGGTCTCTTGCTCCTGCAAACAGTTCTACAAGGAAGGAAGAGAGAAATTAGGTAAGAATTGTATGTAAACAGCAACACAATAACCAACCTGTTTACACATGAGGGTCAATGAATTTTAACAGCATCTGAAGGATTCCCAGAAAGAACTGCCACACTAAAACACTTGAAGCAGTACAATAAGTGATCATGGATGTGTGCCTCAGTACATACATCTGCATTAAAACAATAAGTAATGAAGACATTAAAGATAGAAATCGTGCTTCCAAGTAGAAAAATCAAAACAGATGGACTAATATGTAAACAATTAGTATTGTACAAAAATACATTCCTAGGTTTTAGTTATAGGATTCTTCCTTTGTATTACAGAGATATTTACTAATGATGTTTATTAAGATTAAACACAGAATGCCTCATGAAACTTAAACATCAGAGGCTTTTACCAAAGCCGTTTTTTTTCTAGGTTAGCATGGATGTAACTTACTCTGGTTTGGGCAAAAGATTTGTTATCAACAATCAGAGTAAAAGCAACCTGTACACAAAAAAACTTTTTATAAGACTTGAAAATATAAAAAGGAGCTGAGTGCAGCGGTTCACGCCTGTGGTCCCAGCTACATGGAAGGCTGAGATGGGAGGATCACTTGAGCCCAGGAGTTCAACATTACAGTGAGCTGTGATCATGCCACTGCACTCCAGCCTGGGTGACAAAGTGAGCCCTGTCTCAAAAAAAAAAAAAAAAAAAAAAAAAAGTCCAGGTGCAGTGGCTCACGGCTGTAATCCCAGCACTTTGGGAGGCCAAGGCGGGTGAATCACATCAGGAGCTCAAGACCAGACTGGCCAAAAAAGTCAAACCCCATCTCTACTAAAAATCAAAAAAATTAACCGGGTGTGGTGGTAGGCACCTGTAATCCCAGTTTAGGAGGCTGAGAAAGGAGAATTTCTTCAACCTGGGAAGCAGAAGTTGCTGTAAACCAAGATTGCGCCATTGCTGTCCAGCCTGGGCAACAAAAGCAAAACTCCATCTCAAAAAATAATAGTAAACATTCAAATGATCCAAAACTTAGTAACATTTCATGAATATAGGGACCAGATATGGTAGTCTCAACCAAACACATAAAATATGTACACGGGCCGGGCATGGTGGCTTACGCCTGTAATCCCAACACTTTGGGAAGCCGAGGTTGGTGGATCACAAGGTCAGGAGTTCAAGACCAGCCTGGCCAACGTGGTGAAACCATCTCTACTAAAAATACAAAAATTAGCTGGGTGTGGTGGTATGCGCCTGTGATCCCAGCTACTGGGAGGCTGAGGCGAGAGAATGGCTTGAACCCAGGAGGCAGAGGTTGCAGTGAGCCAAGATTATTATGTCACCACACTCCAGTCTGAGTGATAGAGCAAGGCTCCATCTCAAAAAAAAAGAAAAAGAAAACATGAACACAAATCTACCAGCAATGAGTTTTCAGCAACCAAGAAAAATACTTGCACAAAGCTTCAAGAAGTAGAGATCTATCCTTGTGTTCAAGCTTACTGCAATTTTAAAAGTTATTAACCTTATAAATTTGGTCGTCTGGTTTTCCACTTTGCTTTTTCACAGCGCAGCAAATAAGAGGGAACTATTGACTAATGAACAGATGTGATAGCCAAAGGAGAGGAAACCATAGAATCTTCTTCATACAAGGGCAGGCATATCACTATGCACCTGAGTCATCAGGAAAATCAGTTAATTTCTCTTTATTGAGAGGAAAATTATCAGAATCCTTTTGCTGTTATATAAACAAGCCACAAACTACCAAAGGAGTTTCCCTTAATGTTGATTGGTCATGTTTCCACAGTAAACGTCAGTCTGAGCTCAAAGTATTATTGGTGTCCTTTTACTTAATGGCATAATATTAAAGATACAGAGGGCTGGGTTTGGTGGCTCTCACTTGTAATCAGCCTGCCTGGTCAACACTGAAACCTCATCTCTACATTTAAAATAATATATATATATTACGAATTGTATCATCACAGGGTGGTGCCCCCAACCCCCACAATATGGCAAGTAATATCACACTTCATCTGTATTGCATGAATAATGCCACAGGAGGGGTGTACACCCTCTGCGATTTTGGGAGTAATAGCATTTTCTCTTCCCCTGGATATTAGGAACAATATCACTGGGGGTTGTACACTCCCTTTGATGTTGAAAGGAAGTGTACACCTCTTCTTCCCCAAATATTAGGAACAATATCATGGGGAGGGGGAGTTACACGCCATGCAATATTGGGAGTAATATCACCCCCCCGAATATTAGAAACAATATCAGAGTGAGGGTGTACATCCCCGGTGATGTTAGGAGTAATATCATTTTCTCCTCCACCCCCGTTTGTTAGAAACAGTATCACAGGTGGGTTGTACACCCTCTGCAATATCGGGAGTAATATTTCCTCCCCTCCTGGATATTAGGATCAACATCACAGCGGAGGTTTACAACCCCTGTGATATTTGTCAGTAATATCTCCCTCTCCCCATGGATATTAGAAAGAATATCATGGGGAAGGAGTATATTCCCTGTTTTATTGGGAGTAATATGATCCTCTTTTGCCCTGGATATTAGAAATGATATCACAGCAGGTGGCCTGGGACTCAGAGGAGCAGTTGGAGTTGGAGAAGGGCTCTGTTTTCCTCCAGCCTTCCTCTGGTGCTGCATTAGCACCCCACTGCACCCCCAATCCCTGTCTCTCCCCTGACCTCACTCCCTGAGTCTTAGAACCCCTTCCTTATCTTCAGTACACACCTTCTTTTATTTTTGTCAGTCAGAGTCTCATTCTTGCCCAGGCCGGAGTGCTGAGGTGCAATCTAAGCTCACCTCAACTTCCACCTCCCAGGTTCAAGCGACTCTCCTGCCTCAGCCACCCAAGTAGCTGGGATTAGTGGCGCACACCACCACGCCTGGCTGATTATTGTAATTTTAGTAGAGATGGGGTTTCACCA